AAAGGGAGCAGGAAAAGATGTTGCACAGCTCGGACAACAATCTTTGCAATCTATCGACCCACTAGTTATTGAGGATTATTGTACAAACCCACAAGGCGGTCCAATCAATAGGGAGGAACTCCAAAACTTGATGGACACAACAGGTCTCACACCGGAACAACTCAAGGGGGAGGATCGATACCAATAGCGAAGTTTGATCTATTCTGGACCTATGAGTATGGCAGAAGTCTTGTCAACCCTGCTAACTGGCCATCACGGGGTACACAAATGTTCTTGTTAAACAAGTGGTACTTAGATGCATGTGTGAAGGATGAGGCATGGCTTCTTATCAAAGTTAGACCAGAGCATTACTTCAATGGCTATGACGTTATACATATTGAGTTCAATGAATTACACCAACTATTACACTAGGACGCTCTCGACAAATCTCTCCTTAGCTCCTGGTGTATGTAAGTGATTCTTTCTACAATTGAAGTAACTTGCATGTTAGTTCATTGTCTATATATTGTTATCCTCACACTATATATATTCTTTTGTACTATATATATGCAGATATGAGATGCTGAAACTAAAGAAAAAACGGATGACTGATGTTGGTTTCATGGATCCGAATAGCACATTCCCCACAGTTAATCCATATGATAGATGGCGACCTCAAGTGGAGAAGAATCTGTTCAGGTTCTTAGATAACCAACATGACAAGACAATGATACTCTTCCCTTACAACTTCAAGTGAGTGTTAATGTCTTGTGCATATTTTATTTTGCTTACTCCATGTTGACTTTAGTTAATGAGTTATGCGTGCATATAAACATGTAGCTTTCACTGGATACTGCTGGTCATCGATATGCCCAGGAGTCATGTAAAAATCTTTGAGTTAGCGACAAAACCCCGAGAAGATTACCAAGATATGATAGATATTCTTCAGTGGTAATTTCGGTCTTGCACACTGTATACTCTCTTATGCCATTTTATTGATATAACTCCATTTATTTATTTTCTTGGGCGGTGCTTGAACTACGTTCGCGCAGAAACACCATAATGGTAATTGGATCGTGCCTCTGGATGTAGTCCAATACCTAGTAAGTACTAGCTAGGTCACCGCATCTTTATTTAGTTCAATTCATTATTACCATGCTTCATTGGTTGATGATGAATCTTTTTCTCGTAAAGTGGTGTCTCGGGGAACAACTTATGTGGATACTACGTTTGCGAGTTCCTCATGCAGTCCCCAATGAAAATAAGTGAAGAGATCCTCGAAGTACGTAAAAATATACACAATTTATTTATTACCATTGTGTTGATATATATAATTATATATGTATTCATACTTTTCCTTTCATTCGAATTGAAGCATGAATGGAGGAAGAAAATGGTCCTGCGAGCTGATCAGATCAAAGCAATTCAAGAGGGATTGTCAGGATTTCTTATGGATAATGTCATAGATCCTAAAGGCGAGTACTACTATGACATAAAAGAAATATTACCTAGTAGCCATATGACTGAAGATTAGGGTTGAATAAAATCCCAAGGACATGAGTACAAGCTTTTTGTGACTTTATTATGTACATATTCCATGCATTTACAACCTTTTGAAATATGTGTATATATATAGTTTCATACATTTTAGTGTGTTATTTATGTATAATGCTCAAACGGAACCTTATATGTATATGTGGACCTATATTAGCATATACGAAAAGCTAATTGAAACAAAAAAGAATTGAATTGAAAAGAAAGAATAAAAGAAAAAAGAAAGAAATGGAAAAAAAGAAACCTTTAGTACCGGTTGAAAACACCAACCGGGACTAAACGTGGCAGCTCAGGAGCAAGGTCTGGAGGCACATTTAGTCATGGTTGATAATAGCAACCGGGACTAAATGTCCACTTTCAGTTCCGGTTCCCAGAATCGAGACTAAAATGGGGCCTTTAGTCCTGGATTCACAATCCCGGTTAAAAAACCGGGACTAAAGGGGGTTTCCTAATAGGGACTGATGCTCAGTCCTGCACTAGTGATATTTAAAGGACTGTGCGAACAAATCTTAAAATTGAAGCAAACATCTAGCTAAACCGTTGATTAATCAATAAATAGTACTACTTCTGCTCCAAATTATACATTTTTTAAAAATTTTCTAGATATATTATTTTCACTATATGTCTATACATATTGTATATTTAAATACATATCAAAAGCTATGTATCAAGAAAAATCGTCAAAACGTCTTATAATTTAGAATGTAGAGATACATTAATAGTATGATAAACAAACAAGAAAACATAACAAACCCACTAATGGTATCATTCCATGAAATTCCCCCATTTCTTATGTACTCCAAAAAATTGTCAGGTGTCATAATTGTTACACTGAAAATTGACCAACAGAGCCAAACCTGGGCTGCTTATGGGAAAATGGCTTAGACATTTTCACAAACGTGCTAAGCCTATTTTGGAACTTTTTAAATTTACAAATTGGACTTCACTATTGCATTTCTCTCGTTGAGACAGCCCAAATGCATGTATAGAATGCCAAATTTAGATTATGAATGAGGAAATTATGCTTCGAAGAGTATCAGCATGTGGAAACCGGCTAAGCCGGTTTCGGCAGTCCAGATCCGTTTTAGTTGTATTTTGACATGATTTGTAAGGGATCTCAACCTCCACAGGATAAGCCCACCCCACCCTGTAAAATATAAAGGATATATGAACGATTGAGGGCATCCACTCTATCAAATCAATTTATCTTTTTTTTCTTTTATTCATGCCTTTTATGTGTTCCTCTTTGAACTAATCTTATCCAACCCCATATGTTGTTCTACAAGCATATCAGCGGTGTTTGTGGTCGTTCTTGGTTGGCTTGCCAACCCTAGAACAATACTAGGTGTGCCTCCTTGATGGGCTCCTTCCCTGGAGGAGTTTAACATCTTTGGAAACTGGCTAGGCCAATTTTCCCTATTCCGTTGCGAATCGATCCTTTGAGAGAATCAATCCATTGTGCTGTTTTCCCATTCATCCTGAGTCCATTTTTGGTGCACTATGTTTACTGTTACTTACTGATACCAAACAACAATGCCACGATGAGAAATTGAGCATTTTTTGAACCATTAATGGAATTCTCTATTTGCTCTCCTCCAACATCATCTACACCGGAAAAAGCAAGAGAACCTCTTTATTAGAGCATCAAGGACTTGTTGATTTCCAAGCGACCATCATGTATGCTTACAATCCAGTCAGATAATACTTCGCTTTCAATGCAATATTATCATATCATTTAAATGCACTAGATTGGAGCATACTTTGTCTATATTATATATAGGCAGTGGTTGGAACTACATTCTGGTAGCCTTGAATCTAAAAAGCCTGAGATGCAACAGCCTACTGCAGAACTGCTTATGCCTACAGTGTACCCAATGAACGTACATGTTTTGGCTTGCTAGTTGCTACAAATGTTAATTAAGAGAAAAACACACACACGCGTCACCGTAGTATGTAGACTAAAATTGACGAAATAGGAAGGCTGCATTGAAGTTTAAGACTGCAATTTGTTCACTGCGCTGTAGATCCAATTATAAAAGTACTAAAGTACTATACGAACATATGACATATGTAGGTACTATATATAAATTTCCCTGCCCTCAAGTAAGTAGAGAAATGCTGTCAGACAATTATATTGATCAGAGGAAGGTAGCTTTTGAAATTAAATTGAGTCTTTCTAACAAGATGCATGTTTGGATTTTTGTTACTAAACTTATTGTTACTGAATAATCATCGTCATTGCCGTTCTTTGTTTATGTTCAATTTTGACAGAAAATTAATATTATTATTTCTTCTTTGAAACAAATAAAGGAAAATATGAGTGTAGGCGGCGTTAAACTCCAGCTGTCTTCTCACCATACAAGGATAACCAAAGAAACTAGCTAGCTAGCTAGGCTCAGTTGGTGAACCGCACGTAATGGATAGTCCACAGTTGTTCAAATAAATAAAACGATTTCTCCAATTAGACAAGTCAAGTACTTTTCAGCAAATAATAAAGAAAAATAAAGAGAAAAAAAAAAGAATATGTGCAGTTGATTGTACCTGGACGCATGCAGCAACGCTATCGCACTGTAGTAGGCAGCCATCACCTCATGGCTCACGGAGGAGATAGAAGAAGATAGATAGCCCAGACCCGGACGCAATGCACGCAAAGGTGAATAATGCTACGAATTAGGCCTAAAACAACAGTGCACGGTTGCGTAGCCGTTGTTGACGCTGCGACGCGGATGTATAGCCGGCCCGCCCCCGAAATTAAAGATGGCAATGGGGCGGGTTCGGATCGGGTGGAGTGTCTGGGCACCCAAAACCGAAACCCGAACCTGAAACCCGAATCCGCCCCGAAAATCATTTCGGGTGAAAATCCATCCCCGAAACCGAAACCCGCGGATCCCCGAAACCCGACGGATTAACCGAAACCCGAGGATATTGTAATTAAAGATGTGCAGAACATGCAAGTAGCAGTTATGATACACGACATGTACAACATACATGGTACATAAGATAGTCAAGGCGTCCAGCCATTTACAAAACACACACTGTCCAGATATTATAGTCCAAACAAAAGTATTACAGTCCAAAGTGGCAAAGTCCAAACAAAAGATATTACAAACAGATTGAGATGCAGCAGCAGCAGCTTGAGATCCACTTGAAGCACCAGGAGCCAACATTGCTCGCTTCCTGACAAATACAAAAAGGAAAGCAAATGATTGACCTTATCAGTGATCTATACTAATGAAGCATGAGAGGACCACAAGCACAGTCAGAATCGATCAGAAACTTGCACGAAGAATAGGCAATCAGCAGAAATATGGAATGAAGGTGCATTCAACATTTTAGGATGTTACCACCGTTACCGGAGAGATTATGTTCGTGTCCTAGCTACCACAAATCTAAGTTAGCAAGAAAATAGAATGATTACTAACAGATTTGAATGAACTCCAAAATGCACATACAGCAATCGTAATCATTTAAGCTACAACTACGAACCTATCATTCAAAGCAAACACAGCAGCAAGCAACTAATAACTCCGATTGAGCAGTGAATCTATCAATCAGAATCAACACCAAATCAAGTGGACCAAAATCACAAAGGAAAGGAAACTGCTCATATATCAATGAACAGGCAGTGAAACTATCAGAATATCACTATTATACCTATTATTGGCCAGGCATGCTGCATGCATACAATACAATAGAAAGGAAAAATGGCCGATCTGTCCGCCCAGGTCGTCAAATGATCATCGTGAGCCAAGACAAAGAAACCTAGTAACCTTCAGAAAGTCATCTCTAGTCCACGCCACCTGCTGCGTACGAGAAAACCAGACTCCAGACAGTCTCATAAATTCGCTTGGGCAATAAAAGAATATCCTATCATCCTACAACTCTAGTCTACAATCGAATGCCTGCCTGCTGATTCGTCGCGTGTAATTCCATTCGGCAGCGAGATCCAAAGCGCAGAGCCCCACGCTTGCACGGCTGAAACGAGGACGCGCATGCTAGCAGCAGCCGAGATGAGACGCAGATCAGATCTACCACCAATTGCCGCGTCGGCGGTGGAGGGAGAGGCGAGGCGAGCTGGAGCGAGCTGAAACGAAACGTACCGTTCCTGGCCGGCGGTGTCCCAAATCTGGGCCTTGACAACCTTGCCGTCGACCTGGAGGGAGCGGGTGGCGAACTCGACATCGATGGTGGACTTGGACTCGAGGCTGAACTCGTTGCGCGTGAAGCGTGAGAGCAGGTTGGACTTGCTGACGCTGGAGTCGCCGATCAGGATGCGCCGCCGTACCTGCGTGCGGCCGTGCGAGGAAGGAACGAGCCGCCGCCGTCGCGTCGCTTCGTCGCCTGTTGGGTGGATCGCGGTACAGGCGACTAATGTGCGCGCCTACTGGGTGGATGCGGATGAGGGTTGAGGGGTGAGGGCTGAACGATTGCACGCTTATATACTTAGGCTTCCTAGGTGGGCTTCTGGTGGGCTAAAAGTTTCGGGGCCCCGATGGAGCTCCACGGGTCAATTTAAAGATCCGCCCTAGAACCACGGTATTTCGGGTATCCAAACCCGCAAATCCGTGGGTGAAAACCAGGAACCGAAACCGAAAACCACGGACCCGAAACCCGCGGATATCCGTCCCGAACCCGATCCGCTGCCATCCTTACCCGAAATCATTCTCCCCGGTGACACTGACGCTGACACCACACGCTCTAGCTAGCTGACGCAACCGCGGCGGCCTGCATCGTCTCAGCATCTGCAACTGCATCGCGCCCCCCCCTATGACCCCTATTGTTTTGTTTCTCGACCGAGGCACATAATAGTTTCTCTAGGTAGCTACTCCTAGCTAATTACAGTGTTTCGTCGCCCAAGTATTACCATATATACCACCAATCCATCGATGCGATACTACTGGCCTGCGACAAATGTAGACGGAGGAAATAGTGCGATGGACAAGATGACGATTTCCTTTTGGCCCTCTTCTCTTTGTTAGGATCCTCTTGTCCCTTTTTGTTCTCTTGTGTTCACCACATAATTACCCCGGCCCAGACGTCCAGACGAGCCGAGACGGCCAGGGGCATGCATGCAGTGGTGCAGGAGCGAGCAGGAAGAGAGGGATGCTTGCACGCAACAGCACATCACCGCACAGGTACAGCACACAAATAAAAAGCGCATCAATCAATATAATTGGTGGGCGCTGCCGCTGCTAATCTAAACCGAATCAGGCAGGCAGGCGCTGTGATTGGAACCCCACCACCACTAATTAAAGGTGGGTTAATCGGCTGCTGCTAGGGCTCTAAGACGTAATGACGCGACGACCCACCGAATAATATGCGCCCCGCCTCTGTCTCTGTGATGTGCTTTGCTTTTCGGCCCCGCCACGGCCATCGTGCTAATTCGTCATCATGTCTGCCGATTAGCAGGATCGATCGAGCTGCTGCCGGGACGACGAAGGTACATCCATCGCGCTCACTGGCTCTACACGCTCTCGTACATTTATTCCCTTTATTTAATTTTGATCAAGACCATCAAAAGCCTGCGTTTAATTTTGCGTTGCTTTTGTATTATCAAAATCTATATTTCCATGTGTCGGAATTAATGAAAATTGCATTGCTCACTTCGGTTCATGTGTGAAATTACTTAAAAGCTAGTACTACTGCTGTATTTTCTTATGTTGTTGTTGGTGGTGCCTTTTTTGGATCATAATGTAAAAAAGCTAGCATTCCACCACCAGCAGTATATATGCAGCTAGCAGCTATAGCAAGGAAATCCACGATGCATGGCATGGCAAGGCAATCGATGCAAGAAAACGCACAATTCGTCTTGGTACCCTTGCAAGCTACGCTCACCGTAACACCGCGCACAGCGCACTTCCACTCTTCTTGATGGGGATGCCTTCTGCCATAGCACAAAACTTTGCCTCATGCATGGATCGGAGGCATTGCAGATTTGCAGCTTATGATGCATGCGTTCTTTCTAGTTTGTGGTACATACAGATCATGTTCTAGGACAGGAGTCAGGAATATATAGTAGAGCATAGCTAGGATGCGAACAGGGGGCCCGCTGCTGGGACCGCCGCTACAGTTCCGGATCCTTTATCTCTTATTAGCACCTGAGTCATACGTTCTTGATGTATTATGCAACGTGTAGATACCTTCTCATTTCTGCAAGTTATCCCAAGTGTGATTCAGAGGTTTATATACAATCTTGAGGATGCATCCTGTTCGCTATAGTGTTTTAGCCCCACATGAAAAAGCGACTACGCCGGTCTTAAATCCTGATCATTGTCAAGTGGAAAATGGTCCTGTTCATGACCGCTTCAGTAAGTCACTACCAACCCTCGACTTCATCATTTGATAGCTACGGTACATATTATTAGAACCGATCCAACCCCTTCAGATTCGAGAGGGATGGCCCGGATGGAGACTCCAGGTGAACCTGGAGTCACTTCTGCATCATCAGATGTGTCAGTCAGTTTCAGCAGGAGAACACAACAAACTCTAGTTCATCCTCCAACTCTCCTAATCCTATTTTCCACCTAATTTGAACGTAATAATGTAAGAAAAATGGTGAAACATACTTAGAGCCACACAAATATATATACCCCATTTACACCTATGGGAACAAGGCATTATATGCCATATAAACTATTTGTCTACTCCCTCCGTCCCTAAATAACTATTGTTTTTTTGTTTCCGTGCCGTAGATTTGTAGAAAATGCGGGCAAACATTTGTATCTCTAAATAAATTTATTATAAAAATAGATTCAACGATCTATCTAACGATATCAATTTTGTACCATAAATATTATTATTTTTTATATATATTTAGTCAATGTTGTTTCTCGGAAAGCGAAAACGACAGTTATTTAGGGATGGATGGAGTATGGTTGAATGAACCTACCTTGAGATAAGTTTTGTACCGCTCTTTTTTGTCCTATTGTTCTTAAAGGAAGGCAATTGTTCTTAGATGACTTTTTTTTCTTTTCACTTCTTTCTGATTTTTTTTTGTCGTTATTCAGGAAATATGTAATTTTGTTATCGTTGAATTATAGAAAAAAAGTAAATTATCTTTTTAATTGTACTAGTTGATTGTTGAAGATTGTTGTCTGATAATTTAGGCATATGAAATATAACAACCCCTTTTTTTATATGTACTCCCTCTGTTCTGAAATATAGCGCATTCTAGCTATTTCAGACAAAGTAAGGGAGAGTGCAATAGATATATGTACCTGCACTTAACTTTCTAATTTATTGAAATCCAATTATATTTTGTATGATTAAAGGGTGGACTCTCAGTCGTCCCCTTATATAAAAATATGGCAAGTACTGAATCAAGTATTTTTATTTAGTAAATATTATCTTTTTATTTCTCGAATCCCTTATATTTCAGAATAAATTTCAAATGTTACAATGCGCTGTACAACAAGACTGATGGAGTATATGTAATTTTTTCCGAGGCTCCTTCCTTGAAAGATGATAGATGGTCAAAGGCCCTTTCCATTTATTACAACTTTCAGATGTATGTATCGCAATTTCCAAAAGAGAGGACAATATGGTTCACGGGTATCAAACTGTTTGCGGACCTTGACAGAATCCAAGGAAAATGAGCAAAAAGTGAATGGCAAAGATCCTCTAAAATTGATGGCCTGATGCCGCCCCTTCACTCGACGTCTAAAATTATACTTACAAGTTGGCTAAAACTAATCTCATACATAGTAGGCTACTATGCGTTAGTCGCACTAGGAACGTAGAAATTAAAGACACTAAGCTAGTCCATTAGTATATATATAATATTTTAAACATAGCGCGTGATGGCTGTGTCAGTCGCCTTGATGCTGAAAAAACTAACATTATAGCTAAACAACAATTTCTGATTGACAATTAATCTAGCTATTTCAAGGTCGTGTGCATGTAATAGTATTGATAGGGGTGAGTGTGTGCATGTTGTGAGTGTTTGTGTTGTAGTGTGTAGTCACGAGAAAAAGTATAATGCAAGTTAATTTAAAGCATATAAATAAATTCCCACTTCTTACATTAGGGTCAAAAAGACTAGTTATCATCAAATCTTTGTGAAGATAAATGTGCTAAAAGTTACTAGTTATCATCAAATCTTTGTGAAGATAAATGTGCTAAAAGTTCTTTACATTTTGTTAAGAAAAGGGTCTTTAAAGAAAAAAATAATACAACGAGTGATAGTATTTTTTTAGATTTGTTCTAGAAAGAAATGATGTTATTCTTGTTGGAAGAGAATACTGAAGTTAATACGAGGTTTACGTAGTGACTTTGTCAATTTTAAGATGTGCTTCTTGGAAAAGGAACTAATTTTTCCAGCTACAATCTATATATATATATACTCATGAAAAGAAAGCAGTGGTTTGCATGACACACCTGACACATTGACAGAGATGCATGAGCTCTGATAGGAGTCAATCCACATGAAATTGAGGCTTTCTGGTGTGGCCTTTGATCAAGTAGGCCCATTCACTACCCATGGATCACACCAACACAGAAGGACCTATGATAAAAAAAATCTCAGAAGGCCCAGTGTGTATTGCTTTGCTTGTATATATGGCCAGACGGCCGTAAGGATTCGGTCAGTCGCTTAAGGCCGTATGATTTATCGATTCCATCCTAGGCCTAAATTCTTGGGGCATCCTATGCGCCGACTAGGGGCCCTAAGCCGCCCGGAAACCTTTGGGTCCGAACTACCGGACCCGAACATCACGTTGAACAGAGCGCACGGGAGCCCGTCGAGCGCAGGAGCTGCGAATTGTACGTGCAGGCGGGAGCCGAGGACGGCGCACGACGCGAATTCAATGTGCGTACCGATGGGTGTGGATATTTCAGTTGTTTTATTTTCTTTTCTTGTTTTATTTATTTTTCTTTTTTTTTTTCTTTTTTTTCTTGTTTCTCTTTTTATTTATTTTTTGTTTCTTTTCTAATTATGTTTTTCTTTGATTCATGTTTATTTTTTATCTTTCTTTATTTTTTTTCTTTTTTCTTTTCTTTTCTTTTCTTTTTTCTTTTTCTTTTTTCTTTTCGTGCATTATTCATTTTTTATTTTTATTTTCTATTTTATGTGTTTCTTATTATTTTCATTTTTTATATTTTTTATATTTTAACCTTTCTTTTATGTCTTTTTTCTTTTATTTTTTCTTCTTATTTTTTATGATGTTCTATGTTGTTTTTTTATGTTCATGTAGTATTAATGTGATGTTCTATGTTTTTTTATGTTCACGTGTTTTACAAGTGATGTTCTATGATGTTTTTAATACTCACGTGGCATACATGTAATGTTCTATGATATATTTTTGCAATGTTCGCGTAATATGCATGTGATGTTCTCGTATTTTACATGTGACGTTCTATGATGTTTTTGTGCTGCTCACACAATATACATGTGATGTTCTATGATGTGTTTAGTGATGTTCACGTAATATATATGCGATATCCTATGATGTATTTAGTGATATTGTATGATGTATTTAGTGATGTCCACTTATTATACATGTGATATTCTATAGTATATTTTAGAATGTTTGAAAAGTATACATGAGATATTTTTTTAAATTTTTCTCTATTACATTTTTTTATTTTTTCTTGTGCTTTGCTCTAGATTTTATTTTTTCTTGTGCTTTGCTCTAGATTTTATTTTTTCTTGTGCTTTGCTCTAGATTTTTTCTTGTGCTTTGCTCTATTACATTTCTCCTGTGCCCCGCTGCCACCTTGTGGCCGTCCACAGCACACCCGAGCCAAGAGAGAAGAG